AGCATGCTCAGAGCCGCAGTTGGCTTACGTTCTCTCGCAGCCCCTCATACTGTCAGGGATTGTGTCAGATAGTTCGAGAAGTGAAAGTTGGCTGACAAACTGCATTTGGAGCTGCACCGCTTTAAAGTATTTTCTGGCTTCTGCTCCACTGTTGCCCCCCCACCCCGACCCCTCACCAGCTCTACCTTGAACGGGAAAGAACCTGATGGAGGCTTTTCTTTTTAACAGCTTTATGAGACATGATTCACATAGCATACAATTCACCCATTTAAGATATACAATTCAGTATGTGTGTGTGTGTGTGTGTGTGTGTGTGTGTGTGTGTGTGTGTGTTTTAGTATATTCAGAGTTGTACAACTATCACAATTTTAGAACATTTTCATCACCCCCAAAAGAAACCTTCCACCATTAGCAGTCAGTCACCCCACCTCCCTCCGCCCGAGGCAACCACTAATCTTTCTTCCCATCTCTACAGATTTGCCTATTCAGAATATTTCGTACAAATGAAATTACACAATATGTGAGCTTTTGTCTGGTCTCTTTCACTTAGCATAATGTTCTCAAGGTTCATCCATATTGTAGCATGTGTCAGTACTTTATTCCACTTAAAATGCTGAAAAACATTCCATGGCATGGCTGTACTACATTTTATTTATCCATTTGTCCATTAATGGACATCCTGATTCCTTCCATCTTTTGGTTATTATGAATAATGATGCTACAAGTAAGTGTGTACAAGTTATTGTATGAACATATATTTTCATTTGCTGGGTATATACCTAGGAGTGGAATTGCTGCATCATACGGCAACTCAATTTTAAGTTTTTGAGAAACTGCCAGAGTATTTTCCAAAGTGGCTAGGAGAGTTTTCTGGTTGGGTTTAGGGACACAGAAGTCTGCATGATCCTATAAACAAAAGGAGAGGGACCCTTGTGTAGCATTCAACAAACTCAGGTTTGGCTGAGTTCTTTGTAGATTATCATTCCTAAACTAAGCTGGAAACATGACAGTTCACAAAGTAATCATTAATATTAGGGAGTTTGTGGATAACTTGGATTCCTGGATTCCTGGTCTTGAAAACCAATCTGCAGAGAGCAAGAAAAGGAACCATTGGGACTTCCCTGGTGGCTCAGTGGTTAAGACTCCACACACCCAATGCAGGGGGACTGGGTTTGATCCCTGGTCAGGAAACTAGACCCCACATGCATGCTGCAACTAAGAGTTCGCATGCCGCAACTAAGGAGACGGTGAGCCACAACTAGGGAGCCCATGTGCCACAACTAAGGAGCCCACCTGCCGCAACTAAGACCCAGTGCTACCAAATAAATTAATATTAAAAAAAATAAAAGCACCGTCTACTTTGAGGGCTCCAAGAACCCTGCAGGAGTATCTGAGGATCAGTCTACTGAGACTAGGACTCTCTGTCCTCTACAGCTCAGAGCCCCAGAAAGGGCAACATGCAGGCTTCTCATTTACTAGTGAGCAAGGCTTCTGGCTTTCTCTCAATCCTGCAATGACTAATTGGAAATGAGGACAATGTGGTGGTGGAAATTTTCTACTTTCTTATTCTGCTCTGCAGGAGCCATAGTAATCCCTATAAATTCTAAGTATATCACCAACATATTTCAGCAAATCTTTTACTTTTGCATTTCTTCCACTCCTAGGAGAGCTGCTTACCCTAAATTCCATTTAACCTTTACTAGCTCTTTTGGGTTAATTTCAGTTAGAATCGGTTCCTTCCTGTTTGATCTTTGCTGATTCATCTTTTGTCCTTTTTTATGCCTACCCTAAGGTCTTACTTACTCTGGGTCTGAGCTACATTAAATCCTTTCTGGAACAAGGTAAGGTATAAATACTCATAGAGTTACTCTAGTCTGAAACAGGAACTGTTTATAGCTCTAAGGCAGAAAGAAGAAGGACTATCAAGGGATCTAAATATCAAACCTAGCTCTAATAATCAATATTGGCATCTCATTTTTGTGATCCATTAGGTTACAAGAAGTATATAGTAAATTATAATTCATTTACTCCCTTTAATTTCTTTTCAAAAACAGTTATTCTAAAAGGATATAATTATGTTTTAGTCATTTGCTATCCTTATTTTTTCTTAAGTTAGATGGCATTAGCCTTTATGATACAGATATTTGCTGGAGGTACCAGTTCATCAGAATTCAACCCGATGCACTGTATAAGACGCCAGAGATCAAGCTACTCTTATCCTCTCACTTAGAACTCAGTGAATTCTTTAAAAGTTAAAAAAATTTTTTTAATCTAATTACCATCCCTTTGTAAAATCTCCCAAAACTGTTCTTGGAGATATTTAAAAAATCTATGCAAGTTTATGGGTGAAAGTTACTGGGTTGCTGCATTCTTTCAAAGTAAATTTCCAATTAACTTTAAATGCTCAGGGCAGAAAGTTTTTCAAGCTTCCTCCTCCTCTTTTTCTCTCCTCCTTCCTATTTGTTGTGTTCTAAGAGTCTATCCTTTGCTCTACCAATGGCTCCTAAGCGATCTCACCCACTCCTGACCTCCTGGTTCCACTGCGTACCAATAATCCATTCCTTTCTCCAGCCTGTATGTCTCTTCTGAGGTCCAGTCTAGTACATCCAACTGTTTATGAAAAATTTCCACCTGGATGACCTAAAAGCACCCTCAATATCTAAAACTGAATTTGTTATTTTGATGACACCAAAAGCTTGCAAATTCTCCTAAATTTCCTATTTCAGCAAATATTACCTTTCACCGTATTAGCCTTTTACAAGTCAGCAAAACTAGACATGCCAACCTTGACTCCCGTCTCTTCACTTCCCACCATACTATTCTTTCTGCCCCATGAATACCCCTCATTTTTGTTCTCTCCCCTTCCTCCCCCCCACCTCTGCGTTCACACTCTGGATAGGTCTTTAATAACTGCCTTCTAACAGATTTCCCAGCCTCCAGCCTCCTTCCCCTCCATCACTTTTCTGCCATGGTTCTCCTTCTAAAACATGACCATGACCAAGGTATTTTATATGTCAATTATACCTCAATAAAACCAAACTTAAAAAAAAAATGTCAATGGTTCAATACTAGGTTCCTTGGAATTCTACACATGACTCTTCAAAATCTGGCCCTACCCTTCTGGGAGAATTCCTATCACTTCCTGAGTAATGAGAGGGAGCACAGTATAACGGTCAAGAACATAAGCACATAGTCAGCCTACCTGGGTCTGAATCCTGGCTCTGAATTTCTCAGTGAGAGCAAGTTCTTAACCTATTTGTCCCTCATTTTCTTCATCTGGAAAATGGGGATGATGGTGGCTACACTTACCTAAATCACGGGGTTGTTTCTATTGCTGAACATCGAGTACAAAAAGACATAATGAAAAAAAAAGACATAATGATATATTCTACGGACTCAACAAACATTAGATAAAATGATCATCATTTTTATCCCTCCACAAATAAGTACTTGCTACTACGCTCTTTAATACCTTGCTTTTCATGCTGAGAAAGCTCCTCTATCCCCTCTGCTGGTTCAATACCATAGCCTTCAAGATCCAACTCAAATTCACCTCCGCTGCGATATTCTGCCGCCTCCCCTGGGGCAGTTAGTTACTCCTTCCCTCTATGCTCTGTAGCCTTAATAAACCTTCCTGTGGTCACACTGTATTGTGTATATTTTTATGTATCTGACCATCTCCTGAAACTTAAGTTAAAGCTCCTAAGTAAGGGTTCAGGTTGTGTGTAATAATGTGTGCACTCCTCACTCTATTGCCTTGTACAGTGCCTGATTTAGGCATACAACACAGCTTTGCTAAATGAACAGATCCTTATCTCTCACTTTATGGAACCGAATGGATTTTACTTTGCAGCATGTTATTTTCTTGAGAGCCTCAGATCATGTCGTCCCCATCTTTGTGTCCTGGAAGCACCTAGAAGGACACACAGCAGACAAGAGCTGCACAAAAACAATTTGCTTAGTCCAGAGCCGGAGTGACAAGTTCAAATCTTTCCCTTTAGAATACCTACCACCTGTCTACAAGATTCCTAAAGGGCCGCACTAAGTAAGGAAATGTGAACCTTCACCTTCACAAGGCGCTTGAGTGAGACCGTAAACACTTTATAACTTTAGCTTTTGAAATCATGTTGCTCTTGATCCTCTCCAGGACTTAACTTACTATAAAGGAAAGTGCAAGAGCTCTTTTCTTTTTTTTCCCCAAATTCTCATAATGTACTGACACAGTGACATGATTGTAAATTTTTATTTCCATTATGACTTAATTATTTATAGTCTTAGTATCATTCACTATCAATGACCCAGAAAAAAAGTTTCTTTCTATTCTGATAGAATTGCCTTTGACCTGTGAAAGTGGTGAGGGACTAACAGTTGAAAAGCTTCAAGAAAATTTCAATGGGTGTAATATTTCTCATTCCAACTCACAGGTTAACATCAGATAGAGTGATGATTTTCCAAGAGATGGAAGGACTTCTATCCTAGCAAAAACTTTAGGGGTTAGAGGGGAAAAAAGCTGATTTAAAATAATATTTCCTCCATGTAAACTGTGGCAGGCAAATAGGCATATAACATGCAGTCAGTCCATTTCATGATGACAGTAAATTTCTTAGTTAAAAATGTATTACTGTAGTGGTTAATTTTTTTGTACCAGTTAATTTTTAAAGAAAATATGTTTTGCATTAAAAATGATGTAGATAAATATTTATTGATGCTAAAATATGGTAAGTATAAAAGTTAAGTTATAAAATAAAGCCTTAATTTAAAAAATAGAAATATATTACATTTTAAAATTTAAATATAAGATCTGGATGAACATAGACTAAGGGGATTCCCCTGGTCATATAATTATGGGTTTCCTTTTTTTCTTATCCCTATATTTCCACAATGAACTTGTATTATTTACATAATAAGCTATCTTAAATAAAAGGAATATGTTTTTGTTATAAAACTGGAAATGATTCTTTTAAAAATTAAGCTGTTGTGATTAATTTAGATTTACTTACCAAGAGATTCTCCCCTGCCACTCCTCTGTTGTTAAAAACCACACATCTAAAAACCAGGAAAGTAATTTTTGTTATTTTTACACATGATTCTTACAATATAATATAAAAATCATCTTATTGGCACTGTTTTAGAGCATGAAAGGTTCTTAAAAATCTGTTCCAAAGAAATGAGGATGCTTGATAATTTCATTAAATGCACTAAAATACATTTCTAGTTCTCTAAATTCAGCATGTAGGTTCAAACCAGAAAACTGTGTATCAAAGTGATGTTAAATTTTCCTACCAAAAGCAGAATTTTTACAACTACTTCCTATGTATATGTGTAGGCCTCCAATAAGTATTATTAAAACAATTCTGAATACAAGTCAAACTTAAATGTTTTTGCCTCAAATTAAAAAAAATATGTCCTCTACCTATTCTATTTGCAACATTAATAAGCATCTATTCCTATCCTGAGAAACAGCTCTTGTTCCCTCAAGGCTCGGCAAACACAGACACTGGAATTTTACCTGCGGTGAGAACATCACTACAGGTAGAGCTGCAAGGAGCATGGCATCTGGGTTGGAAGGTTGGGCCCCCACTATGCTACTGCTTGGTGTTCAGCTGACCTAGGGGAGGAAAGACTAGCTGTGTGTCCTATAATGCTGTTTGCCTCTCCTAGGTCAATGGTCATACGTAAAGGGCTTTAGAGCAGTGCTGGCTCACAGTAAGTACACAACGACAGTTAACTAATTAGTAGCAATGGTAGTTGCAGCACAATGCTAACCTTTACACAGTCATTCTGCACTGACAAAACTTTCCATCAACCATAATCCCAGATATGTATTTTTGCCATCCTCAAACAAAATCCTGACTTGTGTCTGCATGGGTTCTCTTTGATTTAGTGAATCTATATTCATGTCAATTAAAATTCATTTTGTTTTGTCTATCTGCTTAGCTAATCAATCAAGATCATTTAAGGTTCTAATTTAACCCCTCCCCTTTTTGTATTTAAAGCATTTATTATCCTTATTTTCATGATGTATTTAACACAGAAGAAATAAATACAAAAAGCCTGTAATTAAGAATATATGTGACAGGGCTTCCACGGTGGCGCAGTGGTTAAGAATCCACCTGCCAATGTAGAGGACACAGGTTCGAGCCCTGGTCCGGGAGCAACTAAGCCCGCAAGCCACAACTACTGAAGCCCACATGCCACAACTACTGAACCCCGTGCACCTAGAGCCCGTGCTCCACAACAAGAGAAGCCACCGCAATGAAAAGCCCTCGCACCACAACGAAGAGTAGCCCCCGCTCGCCGCAACTAGAGAAAGCCCGCGCACAGCAACAAAGACCCAACGCAGCCAAAAAAACAAAATTAATTAATTAATTAAATCTACTAAAAAAAGAAGAAAAATGTTCTAATATCTCAGAAATCTGATTTGAGAAAAGGCTAGAAATATTACATTTTATTAACTAGTCAGAGAAAGATTTTAAATATACTATAAAAACATGCAGAAAAGTTAGGTAGGGTCAGTTAGTCTTTAATCTTTTCTTGCTAAAAAGAATGGCAAGACACAGCCACTTGTATTTACTTGCATAAGCTCCTAAGTAACAGGAATCAGGGCTAAAGTTAGTTGTGACCTTGAACCTCGAAGCTTCCCGTCATTCAGAAAAGAACCACTTTCAAAGTGCAAACACTACATAAGGATAAAAATGGCTTCTGGAGCAAGATACCATCATGTGACTGCCCCTGAGAGAAGGAAGCAGAATTAGTGAGGGGAAAGAAGACGATGATCTGCAAACTCAGGAAAAAGCAGCCTATACATCTGGGATTTTCTTCCAAATTACAGACTGGGATGTTTGTAACTTTCCTTTAGGCAAAAGTGGATCACAGCTCTGCTATCTCTTGCTAGAGGAGAAACTGTACTGAAGTCTCCATAGGTCTTTGTTTCTGACAATGTTCAATCAGTAACTGTCATCACTGTATATACCTCTAGCCTTGGGAATGAGGCAGAGAAATAAGGGAGGATGAAGCAGAGAGCAGCTATGGAGGGAGGCAGAATGACGGCTGCCCTTTGGTCCCTTTCTCCCACTCCAGTTGGCGATAAGCAATTAGCTGCTTTCGTTTAACCCCTTTTCTGCCCTGACCGTCATCAGGGGACACTTGATACTTCAGTAAAACGAAAAGAGCAGGCTGTGAAACACCTACTATTCCTAAGACATTTGATGAGCCCCTCTTAACTTTATAACAGCTCTCTCCAAATAAGTTTTACAGTTTCTCCCGAACAATTTTAAAGGGTATGTCTAAGAGGGAAATTGTTCTGCAAAATTTATTTTTCCTACATATTTTAACTATTTAAATTTTCCTCTCAAAACAGGGAAAATATAAATAAAGAGAAGAAATACTAAATAAAAATCTGATATTGAGAAATTTTTATGACAACAGAACACGTTAATTAGGAAAGCAGATGATTTTCACTTAATGAAGGTTAAATAAGAGGCAGAGAGCTACCCACAGCACAGGATTTCTCAACCTTGGGCACTACGGACATTTTGGATCAAATACTTCTTTGTAGTAGGGCTGCTGAGAACCACTTGGTTGAGAACCACTGTTACAGTGAAATGGGACAGATAACCTTGAGTCTGCTCAAGCCCAGTGATCTACCAGAATAAAGGGATTTTATCATACAACTTTAAAAATTTTCCAGTTCTAAGATTCCACAAGTCTTTGAGTCTATGAATAGAAATAATAATCAGCAAAGGATGGAGTGAGATGAATATTCAGAGATCACTATGCTGGTTTTAGATAATAACAACAGATAATACTTATTAGTGTTTACTACGTGCCAGATTGTCTTCTAGGCCTTTTACATGAATATTAATATTGGAATGACTCATTCATTCAAAAATTTATTAAACAGATTAGTTACTGAATTAAAGATTGAGTTAGTGCTTGTAGGAGAAAAAGAAAATAAAAATATAAGGTTCCTGGCCTCAAGAAGAGTATAATCTAATTAGGTTGAAAATAAATGCATTATACTTTCAGATGAGTGACCACAACAAAAGTGATATCACAAGGCAGTATGTGATTCAATGTCCAACGAGTGGTATAGATAATAAAGCCTTATGAGGTTAGGATTGGCAAAATTCATTAGGAAAGGATTCATGAAAAAGGCAAATAGATCTTATGCTGAGACTCAGAAAATGGTAAAGATTTCAGCAGAAGGAAAATGTGAGATATGATATGGGCTGAAGGGACCAATGTGAGCAAAGATATAAGGTAGGAATGTATAAAAGTTTCTGAGGGATGAGAAAATACATCACTTTAGCTGAAACATGACTACATAGTAGGATAACGATAGAAAATAAAGATGGAAAAATAGGTTAGCATCAAAATAGGCATAGGGTTCAGAATGACAGGTTAAGAAAAGATGACAAGGAAGTTCTGCTTCCAGAAATGTCATGGTAGCTCCTACTGGGCCAACCCTTCTATAGAATAAAAAAGAAGTGCTTGCTAAATTATAAAGGCAATGGAGAACAACCAAAGCAGGCAGAAACTAAATGGGAGTTGACACTTGGAAGAAAAAAATGGCATTGGGTGAGTTTCTTTTCACAGCTTTTTGTCTGAGGGGAGGCATCAGCTGGTATTACTGAGTAATGGATAAAGGTCAAGTAGAAATGTTCAATCTCATGGGCTTGAAAACCAGAAAACAGAGTTTGATGCAACTATAAAAGTTAGAGAAAGGGGGAAATCTCAGAAAAGAGAGAGATATAGAGGCAGAGTCCTAAATTCTGGATTTAAAAAATGGGCACAAAGTCTGGCCGAGCCTTCTGTGATGCAGCCTCTAAGCAGTCCAATTAAGGATGAAAAACTGAACAGAGATTTCAGCTGCTGTCTACTACAGAGGGGACAGAGTTTGAATTTGAGTTTACCCAAATTGTCTGCCTGATAAACAAAAACCAGTCATTAGAAAATATATAGAAACTCTTTTAAAAATATATAACAGAATTCAGAGTCTCTACAATGGATCATTCAAACTGTCCAGAACAAAATCTAAAATTACTAGACCATGAAGAAACAGAAAAAACATGACCCATACTCAAGAGATAAGATAATCAATGTAACTGATCCTGAGACAGTCCAGGTGTTAGAATTAATAGGTGAGGATTTAAAGCAGCTATTATAACTATACTCAAGGACACAGAAGAAAATAAGCTTGTAATGATTTTTTTTAAAAAAAGGAAATAGCAGAGGAATAAAACCTATCAAAAATGGAAAATCTAGATTAAAAAAATACAATATCTAAAATAAAAAGTTCACTGGATTTGCAAATTGCCGTTCCAATCTCAAGATGAGAGAGAAAAAAAGATTGAAAAAAATGAGTAGAACTTCATTGATTTTGGGTATATTATCAATCTAACATACATGTAATTTTGGTCCCAGAAAGAGAGGAGAGAATAGGGCAGAAAAAATATGTGAAGAAATAACGGCCAAAATTTTTGCAAATTTGATAAAAAGACACAACTCATCGACTCAAAAAGAGAGAGCAAAGTGAAAGGGGAATGAGGGAATCAAAAATCAGAAAACAAATACTAAAATGATAAACTTTATATCTACCGTATCAATAATGACATTAAATGTGATTGAACTAAAAACTCTAATTAAAAGGCAGAAAGTGTCAGACTGGATAAAACCTTCAGGACCCAACTATATGCTGTCTACAAGCAATACATTTTAAATATAAATACAGATATTTTGAAAGATAACATATAAAAAAAGATTTATCACATAAACGGTAAGCATAAGAAGGCTGGAGTGGCTACAGTAACATCAGATTGAGATCACAACCAGAGATAAAGAAGGACATTTCATAATGACATAAGAGTTCATTCATAGGAAGATTAACAATCATCAATGTATATGTGAGTAATAACAGAGTTTCCAAATACACGAAGCAAAAATGGACAGAATTAAATGGAATCATAGAAAATCCACAATCATAGTTGATTTTAACAACTTTCCATCAATGAGACAAAAAAATTAATAAAGGTATAAAGTGTATC